GACCCACCTCTGCCTCCCCAAGCACTGACAAGAAGTGATGGAGCTGTCCCCAGGAACCCCACCCTCAGCCCATGGGGCAGGACACCCCAGACCAGACCAGCCCCCACTGAGCTCAGCCTGACCCATGTGGGGGGCGAATGAGGCTTTGCTTTGCCAGGGTGCATCTGATGCCCATCCTGGGTGATGGTCTGCCACCTCCTTGCCCCACACTAGGGCATGGAGGGACCCCATCCTGGGGGATGGTCTGGCATGGACCCCCCCTGCGCTCCTGGGGCAGGACCACACAGCCGTGGCGTGGTGCAGGTCTGTCCCGGTGTGCCCAGCCCACAGCCAGGGCAGGGAGAACCCATGTGGGGCCCAACACTGGAGCAAGCCTGGCACATGGGGGGACCCAGCGCCTCGCCCGGGATCCACAACTCACCATCGAGGATGTGAAACTCGTCTGCGGAGTCACAAAACCCTGCAAGAGAGCGAGCCCAGGGCAGTCACCCTGCCTGGGCGCCTGGGACCCCCTGGCCCTGCACCATAGGGACACTGTGGGGCACAGCCCAATCCTTGCACCTTGCACCCCTTGTCCCTGGGGTGGCTGCAGCGTGGGGACAGACCCCACACATGGCCCTGCTGTGGGTGACACAGGGCCACAAGCTGCTCAAACCTGTGTGGATGTGTCTCCCCCTCCCCATGCTGGAGGGGATGGACCCCATCCCCCACTGCCTGGCCCCTCCTGGCCACAGACCTCGCCACGGGTGCCCCTGCTCCCAGGGGACTGTGTGCCACCCACCGTACGTGGGGAAGTAGTAGGTGACATCTTCGCTCAGGCCCACGGCCCTGACGCGCTGCTCAAACTTGTCCATGACAGCATCGCTGACCTGGCTGGTCCGTCCTGTGTGGGGAGGGAGACGCCATCAGCAGATTCGAGCTCTGCCCCAGAGACCCCCGTGGCAAAGCTCAAGGCCAAGGGGTCCTTCAGCTCAGAGGAACTGGTTACCGGCCTCCCCCCTCACACAGTGTTTGGGAACAAAAGTCTCCACCTGGGGACCAGGACCCAGATCTCTGGCGCTGGGTCTGCCGGGGCTCTGACGGGCATCCCCTGAGCCCATCACGGGTTTCCCACCCCTCTGCCACCCCTGTCCTTCATCCACCACAAGCCCCTGAGCACTGACCCACCATAGAGCTTAACAGAGATGCTCCGTCCCTTCTGGTAGTAGAGGATGGCATAGCTGCTGTGGTCCGTCTCACCCACCACCACATCTACCTTGCTGCGGTAGCCACGGCCTGGGAAAGGCAGAGGGCAGCCCCGGTTAGTCCCAGTTAAGCCTGGCTAGCCCCGGCACCATCCAGGGGCCTTGTTTTGCCACAAGTGGAGTGTACAAGGGGTGAAAATCAGGGCCAGAGCAGGTGCAGCCCCACAGGGTGCTGCTCCCCACCAGCAGGCACCAGTCTGTAGCACCACCCACCCCAGAGGTGGAATACTGGGAGGGCACTGGGAGGAAGGACATTGGTACCAAAGCCCTGATGAGGGCAGGAGTGTGGGGGGGTTCCAGCTCCATGGTCCCTGCAGCCCCCCCCAGCCGCAGCCCAGCATCCCTCACCCTTCAGGAGGAAGCGTCCGTGGGCCTGGGCAGGGAGGTAGCGCTGCCTGATTTCCCAGCACATCCCATCCCTGGGTGGGGAGAGGAGGAGACTGTCAGCACAGGCTGGGGAGGGTCCAGCCCAGGTCCCTGTCTGCCCCGCTTGCCAGGGCACACACAGAACCCATTTTCTTGGGACTTGTTTTCTCCCCAGGGAGGTGCTGTGAAGGGATGTCCCAGGGCCCCATGGAGACCCCGGGAGAGACACAGAGCCCGAGGACCTGCAGAGCCCAAGGGCCCCTGCCCCCTCCCTGCAGTTCTGAGCCTGGCTCAGCCCCTCAGACCCCCCGGGGCCAGGGGGAAGTGCCCACAGACGTGCTGAAGACCCCCTCCTCAGCCATGCTGCCGCTGGGGCGGCCCTGAGAGCCAGTCCCTGGCTGGGCGGCTGTGGAACGACCACATGCCTGACCGGTGCCTCAATTTCCTCAGCCTGGTTGTCCCCTGCCCTGACCAGCCTTGGTGGCCCAAGTCCACACTGGGTTGGTGGCCGTGCAGATGGCAGGGTGCTAGCCCTGCATGGCCATAGCTTCTACCATAAAACATCCCAGAGGAGCCGGGGCAGCTCCCTCCTCCTTGGAGCCCAAGGCCTGGGCACTGGTCCTGCTCTGACCTGCCTGCAGCATCCCCATCCCATCCAGCGTCCCCTGTCCCCATCCCAGGGCACCGGTCCTGCTCCAACCTGCCTGCAGCGTCCCTGTCCCATCCAGCGTCCCCTGTCCCCATCCCAGGGCACCGGTCCTGCTCCAACCTGCCTGCAGCGTCCCTGTCCCATCCAGCGTCCCCTGTCCCCATCCCAGGGCACCGGTCCTGCTCCAACCTGCCTGCAGCGTCCCTGTCCCATCCAGCGTCCCCTGTCCCCATCCCAGGGCACCGGTCCTGCTCCAACCTGCCTGCAGCGTCCCTGTCCCATCCAGCGTCCCCTGTCCCCATCCCAGGGCACCGGTCCTGCTCCAACCTGCCTGCAGCATCCCTGTCCCTGCCTGTGGCCTCAGTGACCGGCATCACTCACAGTTTCCTGAAGGTGCTGATGGCCAGGCTCTGCCCCTCCAGGACCGTCATCGTCACTGCCGTGGCCTCCAGCTGGTGGCTGTGCTCTGCCAGGTAGCTGCAGCGGGAGGCCACACTGACCAGGAACCACCTCCCTGAGAACTGCATGGCACCAGGGTGGCACCACCTGCCAGGTCACCACCCTGGGGCACCACCACCCCGCTGCTCCGAGCACCCACCACCCCGAGCACCCTTCTGTGCTGCCTCTGCTTGCTTGGCACCTCTGCCCACAGCCTGGCCCCTCGGTGTGCCCATGGGGAATGACCGCCCTTGTTCGGGAGCCAGCGAGTGGGACAGGGCAGGACCGGCTGGAGCAGGGGGGCTGCAGGGAGTGTGTGTCTGAGGCGTTCCCCCAGGCCTGATGCTGCTGGGGAGGCTGTGAGCACCCCAGCACAGCCTTGGGTGTGTGGTGGGTGAGCACAAACCCCACAGCCCCAGTCCGGACCCCCCAGCAGAGCCCCAAGCAAAACCCCAGCCCCAGGCCCTGCACGCGAGCACCAACCCCCAAACCGAGAATGGCTGCACGTGTCCCGGGGCTGTGGGAGCCGGGGACCGGCCAGGCCGGGGGCACGGGATGGGGGTCTCAGGAGAGGTTTCGGCCCCTGTGCCCACCTCCGGGGGTGGCTCCGCAGGCTCCTGCC